AAAAAAAACGGTTAAACCAGAACGAAAGGGTTGGTTTTTACACAAAAAAAAAAAAAAAAAAAACGGTTCAACCGACTGGACCAATTAAATTGAATAAAAACATACAGAAGTAAATATTTTTCATAACAAACTTTGATGATCTTTTCATATCTATTTAGACTTTCTTAAATTGAATAAAAACACTTTGTATATTTTATGAATATTTTGAAACGTGTGTATTCACTTAAAACTATATTTTATTTCGGTATTATATTTTATTTTCTTTTTTATTTATATGAATTGATATAAAACTTATGATTATGTGTTTTTTTAAGTATTTAGATTGATTTACAACTTGTTTGTATATGTATTTTTAATGTTTGAACTTGTGTGTTTAGGAAAATAAGAAAAAACATGAAAATTTTAAAAATCCGGTTGAACCAATCGTTGAAACGGTTAAACTGGTTGAACCGGAAGCTGATCACCATACTGGTTCAACTAAAAAACCGAGTTTTAAAACATTGATCAGATTTGTATAAAAAGTCATACATTCATAGTTTAATACTTAAAAAAATTAATACATTCATAGCTTAAAAGTTATATTTTCTTATTAATAAGAGTTGAAACGAACATTAACATACTTAAACAACAATTGAAACATTAAAACATCACAATTCACAGGTTAAAAAACCAAAATTCAAATTATTTTTTAAAACACTAATATAAGAACACACATGCAAAACTCAATTCATAATATAGAAACCATAAAACATAAATTATGAATACTAATTTTAGGCAATTATTATAATAAATAAGAAAACCATCTTAGATTCACAACTTAATAAGTTTGGCTAATATTTTACGTAAATCCTATAATAAAATTAAAAAAAAAACACTTGGTTCATATTCACAACTTAATAACAATAAATTCACAACTTAATATCGAAATGAAGATTAGAATATAAATTTTTAAACCATTCTGAACATCTCTTTATTGTTTACAACTAGCTTAATTTTTTTTTCTTATTTTTTAATTTCCATATACAAGTGATTTACAAAGAATGATAGTTTTAATCTTTTTTAACAACTTCATGATTCTTAATCGGATAAATTAATATAATATATACATACTAAAACAAACCACATCCCTATACTAATAAAAGAGTAGTTCTTTTGTCATGTGTCACTATATTAGACATTATTATTAATGTGTTGCCACTTATCAATCTATTAGTTTTCCATTTTAAATTTATTAGACCTCCTCATTAATGTGATTCTATTTTAAAATTTAAATTTTAAATTATTGTTTTCTTTAATTCACAAATAAAAAAATATCTAATATATATTAAAAATTAATTTTATATATTTATTTGAATCAATGCTTATAATTTCACATAACTAATAAAAATATCTCTTAAATTAATAATTTATTTAAAATAACTTATTAATAATTTTGAGTTTTACTATAAAAGTTTGATTAATTTTATAACCGTGGTTCCCACGAGTTATAAACTAGTGAAGTATATGCAAATAAAACATGTTAGATGCATATGTTTTTGCTTGTTTTTAATTATTCTATTTTTTACAACTATCTGTTTTTTTTTATCTTCTTTAAATGTGATATTTTTAGGCTAAATGTATACAATGACATCATATTTTTTATTATTTTGTTCATTATAGTATCATGTATTTGACTTCAAATAGTTAGCACATTGTCTTTGTTTTATTTGAGTTTTATAGCATTCTATTTTTTGTTTTTGTTATTTTATTTTTTTATGATTTATTTGCACTCTATTTTTATAGCAACTATGTATGTGATTTTTCTGCAATCTATTATTAATAACATCAGTTTTAACACTTATCTGTACTTGAGCCATGAACGTGCTTGTGTTGTTATGAAACTTCTTTTCCATTTCCAGATTAATACTTGAACACATTTTATTTACATCTTTCTGGTTGAATTTTCAAATTGAATGTGAACTTTATGGAATATTTGTGTTTATGTGTTGTTATGGTTCAATTTAGTATTTTATGTGATGAAATATGACTTTATTTATTTCTATATTGGATCTTTGACCGATTTAGGAGATATTTGTACTTAAGTATACTTTGCTGATCATAAAGATGTTGTTACTTTGATTCAACCCTATGTCCTTTTTATATATATTCAACTATACTATAAAAAAGGAAGCTTAAGAGAAAAAATAAATGTTAAAACAAGGGCATAGTGCCTTGTGACACGTGGATTCTACTTGGTGGATTGTAATAAACATTTACTAGATTTTTAGGATATAAGTTTAAGGAAAAAATTTAGGTAAACCTATTTTCAAATTTTGATAAAGTAGAGTTGATTGCTCATGTGATCCAATGTTATTATTACCATTATAACAGTGACTTCATGGCTCATTATATTCTAAATTAGAATGCTAACATGTGTATATTATGAAAATACAATGATATAAACTACCTAAAAATCCAAAATTATGTATCCAGATTACCTAAAAAGGTCAGATTGCATGAAATAAGTTCCAAAAAAAGAAGCGCACCTGATGTGAAAGATGATGATCAGGATGACTGACAAAGAAGAAATATTCACCATGCTCGATAACAATTCATCAATTCATCAACAGGAGGAACATGTGTCACAAGACCCTACAAGAGTCATTATGAATGATTACTACTACACAACTTATTCCAAAAATCAAGTATCTCTTCTCATTAGATGCTCGTGGTAAATCGAAAGAAGAAACACATTAAATATTATATTTTCAAAACTTGATTAGTTCATAACAAAATGGGAAAGTAAATAAGTATTTAATAGATTCTAGTAACAAATTTATATAAAATTAGGAAAGTAAGTTCTACATCAGAACAATACAACTGTTCTGAATCCAATCTATTGTTTTAATCCTTGAGAACATACAAAATTTTTAGACTAAAAATCATCATTTTGCTAGAAAAGACAATTGCTCACTGGAAATATTTAGCCACTGCCGGAAGCAGGAGTGCTTATGTCCGCTAGATTTCTCTCTAAAAAATATATATCATGGGTAGACATCGGAGTGCTCAATTTCGAACTAAGACCTAGGGCAAGAGCTTTCTATCACTACAGTCAGACTTTCAAATCAAGCCAGCGAGGCAAAAGTATTTGTTGCCAATCTAGCGACGATAAAGCAATGGTGATCAATTTACTTCCCCAGAAACATCATTAGTAGTGTTTAGTGGTGATTTATGGTCGTGATTTCTAAATTAATATCTAAATCGTGGTGGTGGTTTCTAGATCCAGGTCTACACTTGATGCAGATCTAGTGAGATTTGATGTATATTAGGTGAGATCTAGTGAGAACTGATGCAGATCAGGTGATTTGTCAAAGATCGGAGAAGGTGGTAGTGATTTATATCGATGGAGAAGATGGCGGTAGCAAAAGTCGCATGATGAGGAGACGATTGTGGTGATGCTATCGACAGAGTAGATGGCGGTGGCAACAGAGAGGTGATGGTGGTTAAAAGTCGTCGGAGCAACATCGTTTGCTGATGGTGGGTGTTACTAGAGGAAGGAAGAAGTAAATACAAAAAAGATGTCTTAAAATTAGGTGAAATAATATAATTGGTAATCCAGTGATATTTGTTGGTTTTTGAACATTTATCAAAAATTAAAAAAATTAAAAAATAATAAAAATTATGAAAATATAATATATATATAATATAAAAATAAGTGGTTCTTAGAATTTTTAATCTTTTTTAATTCTCATTTGATCTTTTACCTATATATATATAATCGTTCATTTGAGACAGACATAAATTTGTGAGACCGTGAGACCAATTTTTTTATTGAAATATTATAATATTATACTATTCGTAAAAATATAATATTCAATATATTCTAACATTATATGTTTTAGAATACTTCAATGTAAAATATGTTAAAATTATTGATTTAGAATATTAGAATATTACACATATTTAATTTTTATGAATACTAAAATATTAGAATATTTCATTAGAAAAAAATGGTATCGCGGTCTCATAAAATTAGACCGTCTCACATGAATATATATATATATATATATATATATATATATATATATATATATATATATATATATATATATATATATATATATATATATATATATATATATATGGGAAAAGTGAATACACCCTTAAGGATATATAAACTTAGGTACCCAAACACATCATAACACGTTGTTTTGTTTAATATATTAATTATAATGTTCTTAAACTTCAACCCCTAACTTGATTTATTTTCAAGAGTTTCAAAATTTCACTATTACCTACTAGGCTATATATGTTATAGTTGAAAATGAAAATTCTGTAAGATGAAGATAAATGTGTAATTTATAAAAATCATGGAAGTAATTCAAGTTAGAAGTTAAATTATAAGAACATTAGACAATTATAATGTATTATATGATACAAATGACGTGGTATGATGAATTTGGATACCTAAGCTTATATACCCTTAAGGGTATATTCACTTTTCCATATATATATATATATATATATATATATATATATATATATATATATATATATATATATATATATATATATATATATATATATATATATATATATATATATATATATAATACAAAACTAATATGTACCACCTCACATCTTTATCTTATTTATTTTAGAGAGAATTTTCAAGACTAATTTTTAAATATTATAATTTTAAGGAGAATTATATCTACACAATTTTCAACCTACCAAAATGTATCATAAATCAAATATGCATGAAACCAAGGCACTATAAATGATTTAACCTACATTTTTTTCATTACCATCCTCAAAAAATAATTTGAAAGTGCAAGAAAAGGATTAAGTATGAACACTTTGATTTAAAATATTATTTTTTCTGTTTATGATGGTCAAAGCTTATTTATTAGAAAAGATATATATAGAAGACAATTACATTCAAAATAATTTTTTTTAAAAAAATTGCAAGGAGGCCTGTATTAAGTATTTACATTTACTCCTTTTCTATACACAAAATACACTACACATTACAAGAATCCAATACACATTCATACACTGATACATACCAACGTCATCAACCTCCTGCCTGTGTACTCTCCTCTTGTTTTCCCCAAATACTCAAAGAAACATCCTTTGATTTCATCTTTTTTTTACCAAGCTTTGATTTTGTAGCTAATTCTGATAAAATTCTGAAATTTTCGACTGTTTTAGCCAGCAAGACGCAAAAATGCTGGGATGTAAGAGAACTGACGGGAGAAGATGGCGGTGTCGCCGGCCAGTGATGGACGGAAAAGAGTACTGCGAAACGCACTTCCTTCAGTACTGTCATCGGCTGAAGCACGAGCCAGTTCCCGCTGCTCTTAAACTTGCCGGAATTAGGCACAAGAAATTGGTCCCTAAAGTCGATGAAGAATCGTCACTTCAACATGACGGAGAATACGAGGCACCCCTAAGAAGAAGGGGTAGAAAAAGAAATCTGCCATTGAAGGATGTGGGTGCAGTTCGTCTACCTCGTAAAAGGGGTAGACCACCGATGAAGGAGGCTGTAGTTGAAATCTCCGATCAACTTCAGGATGGAAGCAAGTTAGCTTTCCAAGACGGAAATCTGCAGTTGTATGATATCAAACAGGAATATGAGAAAACTATTGTTAAGGATCTCATGTTTGGACAAATGGTGATACCCCAACCTTCTCCGATGTCCTTACAATTCAAAACTGTGCAAAAAGAAGTTTCTCCGAAGATGAAAGTTGGGGTTCCATCTGCAACTAGATATCCCAGAAGGACGATCCGTTCTAAAAACGTTGAATCCGATCCAATTGCTACAGTTCAGGTTGTTTCTCATACCCAAATTTGTTATTTATGCATCTACATTGTTATGTTTTTGCTTGTCTATAACCTAATTTCTTAGGGTGCTTTACTGATGTTTTCAATTTTGTGTAGTTTTTTTCATAGAGAAAAATTATAATTTTAAAATGTATATCGTATCAAGTTTTTCCTCAATCTGCTAATTTCCATGGAATTCATCTCTTTACCAAAACGCAGGTTGATTTTCATTTCTCAAATGTAAAGGTGTAACTTTTTTGGGGCTGGTCAAACGGGTCGGGTGGGTTGGTCAATGGGTCAAACATGTTCAAGATTTTTCTGATGGGTCAAAGTCCATAAACGGGTCAAAACGGGCCCGGTTGACCACTGATTTGTCTTTTGTCTTTTTCTTTTAGTGTCATAGATGATTGTAGATTATTAAACATGTTTAAAGAATCATTGTTAAAAGTAATGATCAAACATTTTTAATATAAGTTACACTTGTTATACCATGGACAACTTTTAACTCATTTATAATCACATACAACACAAATTGTTGAATCTTGTTTCTATGTAACCAAATTGTTGTCCACTACTCATTTTCACATAAAATATGATGTTTTTTTTAATGTAAGTTCATAGCTTATGTTGTGTCTTTCTGTTTTTGGTTTATATTTCCAGATGTTACCAAATATAAAAGAAAATATAAAAGCATCTGCAAAGCCGAATATCATCAAGAGGTGCCATTGGTGCAAATACACCAGCTATCGTGTATTTGTCCAATGCTCAACATGTAAAACACATTTCTTTTGTAAAGAATGTATCAATAAAAGGTCCGTTTTACCCTTATAACTTTACCAAGATTCCATTAATGCTAATATACTCATGTTTTTGCTCTTGCTTATTGGTTAAAATCTTTATCCACTATGTTCTTAAACCACTGAAACACATGTTGTGGTTACTTATATGGATCATAACGATAAATGAAGTTGAAATTACCTTTTATGTGATAAAATTTAAGATTTGTTTTTGCTTGGATTTAGGTTTTATTGTAGGTCAGCAATCAAGAGATTGTGTCCTGTGTGTGAAGGGACGTGTGAATGTCGAACTTGCTCAAAAGCAAAATCTAAAGAAGGCAAAAAGAAGGTTAAAAATCGTATACTTTTATACTGTTTTTAGCATGACATGACATGTTATACGACTTTTGGGAAGTCAATGGGACAAAAATGGTAAACTTTTGTCCGATCTTTTAATAAGATGGGATGGAGACTCGTTCTCTCAATCTCCTTTTGTTCAAAAGACGTGAATGCCCTTCTCATCCTCATCATCAAAATAGCCCTAGAAAGCTTATCCATTCCTGTTATGTCCCGAATAACAAACGCAAACGTAGCCTACATACAAGATAATGTGTGCAAAAGACGTAAACGCCCTCATCCTAATCTGTCTGCTTTCATGTCATGAAATCTATTTGCAGGAGTTGGTGATTTATGATCGTGATGAGGAGGTGATGATTTACAATGGTGAAGAAGAGGAGGTGGTGGTTTCTCAACCTGAAAAGGAGGTGATTGTATACGATCATGAAAAGAAGTTTGACAAAAGTCAACAACTTCACATGATTCGCCTCCTTCTTCCACTTATGGAAAAAATAAATCAAGAAAAGATGAATGAGCTGGAAACCGAAGGTATAAACAAAGGTAAAGTGTCCCTTTTTTTTTTCTTTTAAAACAAGAATCAAAAGGGTTTTCACTATTTGTTCAAATACAGGAAGAACTCATTCTGAATTACAAGTTCAGCTTGTAGAATGTCCCAAGAAGCCAATATGCAGGTGGGTTTTCAATATTTTCAAATAAAAGTTTCTTGAAATAATAATTTCTTATGCTGTTTTAAATGATCTTGTGTGGCTTATATTTTTGGCACAGTTTTTGCTCTTCATGGGTTACAGACATTCACAGAAGCTGTGAATATTGCTCTTACATTCTCTGCATTCATTGTTGTCAAGAGTTTCATGAAGGATACTTACATTCAGGTCTTGGAGATTTGAGGAATACTAGGTTCGTTAGAAGCAAATCAAGAAAGATTTCATGGGCATTTAGTATAGATGGAAGCATAAGATGTCCACCACAAACTTTAGGTGGATGCAATCAAGATTTTCTCCAATTAACTTCTTTTTCCTCCTTTGGTTTCACAAAAGATCTTGAAGAAAACGCAAAACAAATAGTAAACAAATATCAATTCACGAAATCTTTAGGGCTTCTTTCTTCACCTTGCTTACTATGTGATGAAAATGACAAATTGGGTAGTGAAAAAGTTGGAAACTTGATTAAAAACAAGGGTTTGTATTTCAAGACTAAGCAAGATTTGATGGATAAAAATCTTGAACATTTTATGAAGCATTGGGGTAAAGGTCAACCTCTTGTAATCCGTAACGTGCTTCAAAGTCAACAGCATTTGAATTGGGATTTCGGTTACTTGTTGTGCAAGTATCTTGAAAGGAGTGAAGGAAAAGGAAAATCAAAAGGTGGATTTGATTGGTGTGATGTGCAATTTGGTAGAAAGCAGATTTTTAAAGGTGGTGTTACACATGAAAATGTGTGGCAAGAGCTTTTGAGATTCAAAGTTATGTTTTCTTCAAACTTTTTTCAAGATCATTTCCCAGATCATTATGCTGTTGTGATGGAATCTTTACCTGTTCAAGAATATATTACGGGTTTTATGAATCTTGCAATGAATGTTTCTCATGAAACTGGAAACCCTAATTTGGGACCTCGTGTTTGTATCTCATATGGTGAACCGAATCTTACAGATGCTGATCTTATAACTAAATTGTGTTTTCATGCGAATGATGTGGTAATTTTTCAATTACTTTATGTTTAATGTTATTATATGAAACCTATTGATGTTTCTCTTTTGAATTCAGGTTAATATTCTTGCATATGCTACTGATAATCTGATTTCTGAGGACAATCTTAATAAAGTCAAGATCTTGATGAACAAATACAGTTCACAAGAGCATATAAAGTCTTCAAGGAAGATCAAAACAAGAAATGAACTTGAAAAACTTTTTGAAAGTTCACCAAAATTGGAGGCGAAAAAGAATGATATAGATATGTCATTTGATGATTCAAACACTGAAGATTCTTATTCTGATGATGATGATGATGATGAAGTTTCAGCTTATTCTCAACATGAAATCGGGACATGTAGTCATTATGAAGAGGAACAAATAGTTGAAACTCATGGGATTGAGTGGGACATTTTTCACCAGAAAGATGTCCCAAAGCTTTTGGAATATCTGAACAAGTATTCTGATAAACTCAGTAAATCTTGTGGTTCTCCAAAAAAGGTATAATTTTGTTCAATTTAAAAACATAAATGAGAATCTATCTAATTAACTTTAATACGTATTTACATTTTACATGCATTACAGGTTGTTCATCCACTTTTTGATGAAGTTTTTTACTTAGATGAGCTTCATAAACTGAGAATCAAGGAAGAATTCAGTAAGTCTCCATCTTTTTAACAAGTTAGTTTTAATTTCTTTTTGATTATCATTCTCATTTTTCTAATTCTATTATTATATGATTAGATATTGAACCATGGAGTTTTGAGCAACATATTGGTGAAGCTGTTATCATTCCAGCTGGTTGTCCTTACCAAATGAAGAAAGTTAAGGTAACATGTTATATATAACTTATCTCTAAAACCTTAATTTGTGTATATACATGTATTCTTTTTGTTTTGTTATATCTGATATACAAGAATCAGCAACATCCTTTAATTTATTTGTGTATTACATTTATATCATTCTACTTCCATTTCTTTCTACTACCACATTGTATTTAAAATGTTTTAGTAGGAAGAAATGAAAGAAGCATAAGCTATAATAATTAATAAACAAATAAATGAAAGCAAGATGCTATTTCTTGCATTTAACACTAAATGTTCATTCTTGTGTAGTCATGTGTTAATGTGGTTTTGGATTTCATCTCACCCGAAAGTGTAACTAATTGCATTAAAGTAGGCGATGAAATTCGCCGACTTCCTGTAAATCACAAAGCCAAAGGGGCAATGCCAAAGGTGAATATTTTAAAAATTAAAATAATATTTCTTTTTTTTGGGTATGTATATGTGGATAGTATTACTAATGTAAGAAAATTCTCGATTTAGGTCAAGAACATGGTTATTAATGGCATGGATGCAGCAATTGAAGAAATCCGTACGATTTTAGACACATAGTATTTATGTAAGTACAAAGGAAGGGCATTCACGTCTTTTGTCATGTGTAACATAGGGCTTGAAGCTCTTTAAACCAATTTTTTTTTTAATATTTTATTTTAACACCACTATTCTATCATCTATATAGGTACATGAGACTTGGAGCATGATATGGAGCTTGTACACTCCAAAGCCAAGTCAACTAAAATGATGTTTAAAAATGGTATTTTGCTTATGTCACCAATTAGCGACTCTTTTTTATCGGACTATAAACTCATGATGTGATGTTTAGTGGTTTCCTTAAAACTGTTTTATGGTAGTTTATGGGGCGTTGTGACACCTATGTTTATGAGGTTTGCACATGTGTCATCTTTTTTGAAGTCATATATATATATATATATATATATATATATATATATATATATATAATTGCATCACAAAAACCAAATTCATAATAAGAAAGTAGGCACAAGATGTTGAGTAGGAAATAAAACAAGAATTGATTGCATGATTGATACATTTGCTTCCGTAAATCTAGCATGCTTTTTGTTACTTGTTTCTATTTTAGATATATGTTGAGTTTGACTAAATGTTTTGCCTATCGGTTGATCGAATATTTGCTTGTTTGTAAAGCATATATTTTGTCTAGATAAAACTATACTCGAATAGAAAGAAAACTACGTATAATAACTAATGTGGTCATAAATGTGGGGTTTCGCTTCCTTTTGTCACACTAATTGGTGTTGGGATATTTGTCGAAGGGTATATATGACTTATATAGGACTACACCCTTAATGATTTGGTGTTATATAAGTGGAGAAGCGAAGGGAGAAAGGCTCTAGTCAGTAATACTAGGACGTAAAGTGTTGCGTGTGGATAAGATGCTAGTTGTGCTATAAAAATGGTATATACGATGTGTGTGTGTGTGTATATATATATATATGTATGTATGCATGCATGTATATATAGGGGATGATTCCAATAAAAATAGTAAATAAAGTGAGAACATGAGAACACTACTTTTATGTTATTATTCTGCTATGAATTTTGTATATACAATTATATTTCATTATTTAGTATTGAATACATGAATAATCGTACATTAACATTTACTTAAATGCTACACATATACAAAATTCATAGCAGAATAATAACATAAAAGTAGCGTTCTCATGTTCTCACTTTATTTAGTGTTTTTATTTGAACTTATTCCTGTGTGTGTGTGTGTGTGTGTGTATATATATATATATATATATATATATATATATATATATTATATATATGTGTGTATGTATGTATGTATCTTGTATGTGTATACGAATGGATATATTACTATAAGTGGGTTATTACACGGGCTTAAGTAATGGCAACTTTAGTAGCTTCTTATGACTCGTCTTTCTAAGAAGAAACCATGTGATCCCTCACCCCAAGTGATAGATTAACTAACGTCACAAGTCACATTTACCAAAGTACCCTCGAACTAGTCACAATGCCTCTCATGATATTGTGATCTAGGGTGTTCTAGGAGTTGGGTAGAGGTTCACAAGATGAAAGAGGGAGGCCGATAAAACAATATGAACAATTTCCTTGTGCGACTTAAAGTGCAATTATGGAAAAGATCGTGATGGAGAATGAAGATGCCTATTTGCTACTTCTATGTAAAACTTAGCCTAGAATTAACGACATTAGTTTATGACTTTATGCGACATGTTGTATATAAGAAAAGAAGAAATCTCGTAAGAACTTATAAGAAATGAAGGTTAGGCCTATTTTTTTTTTAATGTTTAATGTTTTCTTTTAGTGGGTTGTATTTATGTGAAGTAAGGAATTGTGGGTCCCATTTATGAGTAATAAAGATGGGACCTACAAAATAGTTCACGGAAAGTTTTGGTCAAAGGAGCACCATATAGAAACTATATATATAGAGTTAAAGTTGTAATAATAAATATGTTCTTATATTCTTAATAAAGCTCTCCATTACAAACACACCAAAGATGTAAGATATTAAATACATAGACTCCAAAATTTATTCACTTAACCTTGTTCTACAACTACGCTTCCTTCTATGTCTTTCACTTAGCCTTACACTTGTGGGAAAATTCAAAAAGATTAGAATGCCTACACTCTTTTATGCTCCATACATCCGAAAATATAGATATTTTAGTTATTTTTTGTCCAAATAATTAGATTTCTACTTTAGGATTGTTAAGAATGATATTGTATATATGGAAAATATACAAATTGAAGGGTGTATTACAAATTATTACTATTACAAATGTATATGGAAACATAAAATCGGTATGGATATTTATTGTTTTAGAACACTTGTTGAATCGGAGGGTGTAATAATTATGTTAGTTGTAGATGTAATCCGATTATCATTGGTCAACGATATCTTCATGACTTTTGGTCAAATTTCTTGATGCCAAAACAAGAAAAATTAATGCTGCTGATGTGGCATTTGAACGCGTGTCATGCTTGCTTTCTTGCATGACTAGTTTCACATAAGTACAAACTTATTTTGTTTGTTTGTTTGAATTAATATCTTAGTCATCAACTTTATTGGCATGTGGAAAGTATTAGAGTACTTATGACATCAGCAATGACAATATTCTTATAATATGCATGTAATATTGTTACATTCTTTATTTAGATTTCTTATTAATCTAATACACATACAATTTCATTTTCAGGTGGCATTGACCATTTCTATTTCTCATTCAGCAAAAGGCTTCTTCAAAGTGTTGTGTAAAAGGGTATAAAATTCTAAATTCCTGATAATTAAGTTCATTCATTATTTTTCTATAATGATACCTCTATATTACCTTTTGAGATCTTGTATTTGACTTTCTCAATGTTGAAAATATGATCAAAAGCACATAATCGTTGAATTAACATTAATTACTTACTCTCACCTTTCTTTTTTAGGGTTTTGAAAGCCTCATTAATGCTAATTATTTCTCTCATCTTTCCTTTTTTGGGGATATTGTAACTTGGAATATAGATATAGTTAAAATTATGTATATTTTGAAGTATATTGATCACATACCCCATTTTCCTTTTAAGTTGTATTTGTCTCCACATAAAGTTTAAACATGGTTAAAAAGTACGTATGCATTGAAATCATGTTTATCTTTTTTAAATAACAAAGGGGCAGTTTGTGTCTTTATCTAAATTTCTTATTAAGCAAATATTTATCATTTTCTGTTGCAGAACTTTTGTGTTGATCGATGGAAGGGCGTTTTAGTCAAAATCCATTTTGATGAACTTTGAACTGGAGTCAAATTGCAGGTCTTAAATCCTTCAATCAGTCAACAAGAGGTAAAGTTAAGGTTGATCACATGCAATAAGGTATGAATAAAGGTAATCATTACACTTGTTATTTCCTAAAATAGCATGTTGGGCCTATTTATTTTTAGTAATTTTAACATTTTCGTTCAGTGGGTCATATTATTTGAACTTTGAAGTCAGGAAATTGAATTTGTGATTGTGGGTCCCATTTATGAGTAAAAAAGATGGGACCTTGAAAATAGAATAAACTATTTACATCTTAAATAAAGGAAGCACCATATAAAAACTATATCCATTGAGTGGAATTTGTAATAATAAATGCATTTTCCATTATAAAACACTAGAAAATAGCTAATTTATTAATTTTGTTGGTTTCGAAGATAATCTGATTCTTAATTTGGGTATATATGGAAACATAAAATTGGTCTGAATATTTATTTTTTTAGAACAATTGTCACTCTTGTAATGAAAAAAAGTTAATGACATGCTGATGTGGCATTTGAACAGGTGTCATGCTTGGTTTCTTGCATGACTACTCTCATATAAATACAAACTTATTTTGTTTGTTAGTCATCAACTTTACAAGCATGTGGAAATTTTTTTTTGGAGAAATAATGACATCAGCAATGTCAATATTCTTATAGTGTGTGTGTTATTTTTTCTAGGTTTCTTATTAATCTAATAAGCATAAATTTACATTTTTCAGGTGGTATTGGCCATTGCTATTTCTCATATAAAAATGGCTCCTTCAAAGTGTTGTGTAGAAGGGTATAAATTATAAAATCGTAAATTCTTAATTATAGTTCATTTATTTCATTCTCTTAAAAAAATGATAACTGATAACTCCACCTTACTTTTAGAGATCCTGTGTTTTGACTTCTTGAAAAGTTTACGATATGGTCAAAAGCACATATTCTTTGAATTAACATGAATATTTCTTTAATGCTGATTATTATATCCCTTGTATTTCCTTTTTAGGGGTGTGTAGATGTGTTTAAAAATAGTACATATATGTTGAATTAAAATTAGTCCTATTCATGTAAAGAAAATATGGAAATTTTATATTGTTTGTTTCTTTTTGTTAACATGACAAGATTGACATGTGTGTATTTCATGTATAGGAATCATGACATTATCAATGATGGTATTCTGGTTTGACTTATCATCAAGTAATTATGTCATTTTTTTTTTTAAATTTTTGTAAAAAAAATTAACGAATGGGTAGTTTGTAACTTTATCTAGATTTCTTATTAAGCATGTATTCTTCAATTTCTCTTGCAGAAGCTTTCTATGGCTGTTTTTGATAATGAGGATAAAGAGGGCATTATGGTCATTTGCACATATGAGAGACCAAGAGGTAAAGTTAAGGTTGGTCAAAAGCAATAAGGTATGAATTAAGGAAATAACTAAACTTTCTATTTCTTACAATAACAACCCTCACATTTCCTTTTTAAGTATTACTTTTGTCTTCGCATAAAGATAAGATAGGATTAGAAGCACATATTAATCTCATTATCACTAATCACTTACCCTAATTTTTCCTTCTCAATGTTATGTTGAGATAGAGTACATAACAAAGTATATGTGTCATTTTCTCAAATAATGATATTTCTATAATTGCCTATATGGATTGCTGAATTAGTAAATAAGTAATAACCACTTATTTGTACCACATTATACTTTCATTTTTTCTCTTATTAAGGCGTTGTACTTTGATAAATCTACCCAATTACAATGATGTTAATAGGAAGAAATGAAAGTAGAATGTAATAAACAATTTAATGAAAATATTTAAGCTTGAAATTTTAGCATCATATTCTTGGAATTCAAGATTGACATAAAATTTAGGGTGATGCAAATATCAAATACTTTTTTGAAGATCCTTTTTATCATCTAGCATATGGTTCTTGATTTTTGAAAGCAACTTACATAGAATCCAATGGATGTGAAGAGATTGAATTGCAAACTTCATATAGAAAGCACATTTTGGAATGGTCATCCTCCTTTTGGCACAGACTGTATTTGACGTGAATTGGACTGAGACTTAGATTGAGGGACAAAATATTGGTTATTGTAAATAAGTTTGTAGTTTAGGATGTTATATTCATTCCTTTTGTGTAACATGATAACATTTCCAAATGCTTTTGGCATTCGTGTAATACCTAAAATCTTGAAAATAAAAATAAAAATATAAGCTGCAACAACAATGATGTATATTGGAATCGTTAGTTGTATCTATTTCATCACACAATGCTTCCTAGTTGTCATTCACACAGTTTGCTGTCCATTGACCATGGATAATCTATGCTTCTTTTGTTTATTTATTTTGTTGTTTTTCTCTTGAAGCATCTTTAATAGTTAACCTCATACAAACTTATTGTTTTTGCTACATCTTTGTATTAATTTTTATGTAATAAAAAGCTTTTATCAAATACCCTTTTCAAAAGCTTTTTTCAGTAATTGACTAATTTAGCATTTATCTATCTTAAATGCTTTATTAAGTCTTCTTGTATAATTTATTATTTTTAACAACATATGTCATTTTCAGGTATTTTACGGGTAGTTTTTTTTTTTTTTTTTTTTTTTTTTTTTTTTTTTTTTTTTTAAATTTAAAGAAAAGGGGAGGTGGGAGTCGGTTGGGTACATGGGTTTTGGGTTTAATTGTTTATTTTTGTAAAGAAAATATATAAAAAAGCTAAAATAAAATGAAAGGTTAAAGAAGTATTTTTTTCATGACAAAAGACCAAACTAACCATATCGACCAAAAGAGTTATAATAATTGTCATTATTTATGTTTTGGGATATCGCATGGACTAATCATGTAGTTATATTGTCGTTAAATTATATACTTTCTTTATAAAATCTATTCAAATTTATTTTGTTTATTAAACTGATTAACTAATAAAAAATCGAATATCATGATATAAAATGAAATATTATTAATTGTAGGGATAAATGTGGCAAAACTTAAAAAGAAATTAAAAAACTAAAAGAAAACTAAATGTTTTGAGTGAACTTTTTAAAAAAGCGTACGGTAAAATGTTTTCCAACTTTTTTTTTTCCTAAATATTAAAAAACCTTTAGACTTATTTTCCTTCGTCTCAATGTTTTTACATTTTATCTTATTAACGGAACAATGATTTTTTTTTTTCTTATTCTTTAATGTTTGGCTTTTTGGTACTTGAAATATTGCCAATCATCTTGTTTAGGCCATGGGGTATGGGGGTTTTGTACGCACGTAAAGATCTATGTGGACGGGATGTTCAAGCGTGAACACCGTCCCAATAGGTGTAAAGGTGGCGATGATTGAAGCTGGTCACGGGTTTTCACAACCAATCAAAAACATTTCTCCCACAAAACTTATTGGCTTCTCTCTATCTCTCTCTTCCTTTTATCTTTCTCTATCTTATTCACTAATTGTTTACTAGTGAATACCATCCCAAACAATAATGAATGTAATGTGAAAGAGATATAATGCTGATGTGGAATCAATTTCACAGGTGAATACTTTGTCAACATACCTTATACCCTTAAAAACCAATTAGTGAACAAACATGCATGTATATTGATGATATTAGGTCCATTAGCATGATCTAGACAACTCTGGCACGCCAGCCTTGCCAGCTCTGCCTGACGCTTTCCTGCCAATCCTGCCTGGCACTTTCCTACTAGCCCTTCCTGATGCTCCATTGCCAGCCTCTCCGGGATGCGTGCCCGCCAGCCTTGCTGGGTACGCGCCCGCCAACCTTACCCGATGCCTTCGGATGGACTTACCCAACTCCTTGCTAACTAGGCCTATTAGGCTAGCCTAATGCTTAACCTAATTCCCCTTGACCTAATTGTCCCCTATAAAGTGAACAATGCCTCCTCCATGGAGAAGGACTTTCCCCCATCGGCTTAGCCGCCACTCTAGACCCTTTCTGATGGCTCAGCCGCCACTCAGGAGTTTCCCTTTGGCTTAGCCGCCGCTCTCCACCTACAAACACCATGTCTCTACACTACCCTAACACCAAGATGGTTCTCTCCAACTAATAAGAACCATCTCATCTCTACCAATTGATCTAACTTGATCGTTGGAGCCTGCTCCCGAGGCGCAGTCCTTGGGAGCGGTTCTAACGACTTTGCTATATGCTTCTTAGATCTTCGTCGTAGTAGTTGTCCAGAAGACATCCCGGAGATCCATGTCGCATCATTTGGTGCCACCCGGACTTGAACGAGCAACCACCATCTCGCTTGGTTTCAAGCTCGTTCTTACCTAGATCTGTTCAGATCTGTTGCGTTTCAACTCAGGTTTTGCTCATATCTGTTCATTTCTACCATTATTTGTTCAGATCTGTTTGGCTCTTGCCAAGATCTGTCTAGATCTGATTAGCTATCTTTTAGATCTCTCGATCTGATGCGTTTTCGTTTAGATCTGTAGATCCGCTTCATTTTTAGCTCAGATCTCTAGATCTGCATGTTTTTGTTCACTCAATCATCTCTCAAGTTTAAAAACACCTTATCAACTCTGTTTTTATTTACATTTTGATGGTTCACCTCAGCAAGTTGGGGAGAAAAGAGGTTTTTACGAGTCTTTCATTATCTTTGTTCATATTTTGGTGTTTTATCCAACAACTTGAGAAGAAAAGAAATTTTCGTGATTATTTACCATATTTCTAGTTTATGTTATCAAGAAATCACCTTTAGTTTATAATATTCTGTGTATAACTTCATTCAAGTTGTTTTTTTGTTGTTTTATTTAGAAGCTTAGAGAAGGAAAACGAGAATTTTTTCAGATATGTTTTCGTTCGGATTTTGGTGATTTATTCAGCAAGTTGAGAAGAAAAGAATTCTTTACAAGTTATTACCTCTTTTACCAGCTCGTTGAGAAGAAAAGAATTCTTTACAAGTTATTACCTCTTTTACCAGCTCATTATTACAAGAAAAATCACTTTTAGTTGATGATTTTTTCTTCTTCAGAAAATCACATTTAGTTTATGATTTTCTGTCTACAACTTCACTCGAGCTATATAGAAGCTTGGAGAAAGAAATAAGTGTATATAAGTTTTTACATTTTCAGAAAATAGTTCTAGTTGAGGTTTTATATATGCAATATCATTTCTTGAAACATTTTGTTTGTATGCAATGCTATATTGCTTGTACGTCCCAAAAAACCTCGAGAAATACCATAATTTTGTTAGATATTTATGCATTTTTACCAAAACACATCCCATTTTATTTATCATTAGTTTATAGTTCATCCCATCAATTAAAGTAAAAAAAAGAGGAAGAAAGGGAGTTCTACAAGAAGAAGTGATCTATAAAAAGAGATGTATAAAAAAAACCATCAAAAATTCGTTCATCCTTTTCAACAAGATACACCAGATACGTTTGACACATTTACCTCAAAAATCGCATCTATCTATTACCCTAAAGTTTACAACTATAAATCATAAAGCAAAAAAGGAATTACATGAGTAGTGACTTGTTGTCACCTCTCAACCGACAAAAAAACAAAGGGGGGGGGGGGAGGGGAGGGGGAAGGGTGCACAGTGAACCATAAGGCAAAAGACAATAAAACATGTAGAAAAGTCAAAAGGCGGGTCCCACCTTGCTCACATGTTCTTCCAAAAGTCATCAACCCCCACCTGGTGCCTCTTCTTCCCAAGAAAACATCAGAGGCAACTTTTCTTCAAATACCACTTCCCCTCATCAGACAACTCACCAGTAGCCTCCAATATCCAATGAAATTGCTCCGAAAGCAGCTGTCGCCAACCAGAACTATCAGAGCATTCGCCGCCAACCGGAGCTAAAGCTACGATAATCCCTTATCTCTCGATTCACCACCAGAAACTGGAGCTACAACACCCCCCACCATCGTTCGTCGACTACAACCGCCTCCCCGACCATCGTCGGGTGCCTCTAGCTCAGACAAATTGTAACATACGCGTTAATAACCTTGTTCAGTTATCATGTTTTGTAAGCTTGTTAGCTTAAAAATGAATATTATTAAATAATATATGTTTAGAACGTTGAGTTCTAGCAAGATAGTTTTATGAGATATGGAGTAAAACTATGTTTAGAATCAATCGCAAAGTATTGGAAGTGATGGGAAGTCTTATGAGATTCCAATCATAAGTCAACTATCGGAATTAACGAAAATATAACATTTAAGTTGGAAATAAGTAAAACTAATAATATTGAAAGTTGTAAATTATCTCGTTAGAAACGTTTAGGCGAAAACCTCACCAAAATCTGAGATATAACGAAGAAGTTATGACTTATCAAAGTTTCGCGACAAAACCGACACAACGCCATATAACGTAAAAAGTGAGTTTACAATAAACTACTTTTTAGCTTTAGTGATCTAAATGAAAGTCGTAGTATTTGTTAAACCGAGAACTTTCATAAAAAGAACGTCTAAATCTGACTTCATATGAGGAAGTAATGATTTTTCTAAGATTCAACATAGCAATGTGCAACTCGAAATTCGAATTATAGATCGAGCAATTTTTAGTTGACACAACCTAAATGAGAATCGAAGATCTCGTTAATAGTAGTTCAACGGTAAAAATACAGACAAAAACGGACATTGGATGAAGAAGTTATGATTTTTTAACGTACTCTTTCTGTCCCGGACTGTTAAAAATATAATATTAAAAATGAAGTCAAAATTAGTTGATAGAGTCTAAACGAAAGTTGTAGAGTATGATTGCACCTATGCGTGGATATAAAGCACGTCAAAAATGGAGTCCGTATGCGAAAGATGCGAATTTTTACAGTTCGGGGCACAAACTTCAAGATCTGACCAAGCTCACGACGTGAGCAAGAAATTCTCACAATGTGAGCAAGAAAGTCTCACAACGTGAGGTAGTCCATCGAAACCCTTCAAGCCTAGAACACACACGACAAGCCTACACACTGATCAGGACAAACTCACGATGTGAGCTTGTATGGCTCACAACGTGAGTGTCGAAATTTCGAACTATAAATAGATGGTATGCCCTTTTTGTTCCGTTTACACTAAAACACAACCCTCTCTCCCGTATTGCTGATTTTGAGCCATTTTCCCGAGTCAACGATCGTTAGCTGCTGACAGTGTCTAGCCAGATTCTACCGGAAAAACGCATTTAATGGGTAATTACAACGCAACATTCGGTTATTTCATGGTGAGTTCAATATAGGGACAATTGTATGTTATGTGTTATATGTGCAATGTTCTTTCCTGTGTTATTCTGGTATT